TCCTTCCCTCCATTCCAGCGGTACTTAGGCACAAAGGATGCACAGACCGATGGCCATTGGCGGTCAAAAGCTAAGCGGCCCTTTTATCCATTGATAAGACAGGAACTCTTGTTCCCACCTCAGGGACTTATGAATCTTCTTTGTTTTCTGGGGATGTATTGTACAACTTTGCTTTTCAACAAGTCCTCTTGCACCCTGGCCAGGAGACGAGGTTCTGGCAAGCTCAGAGGAACTAAGATTTCAAACGTTTTAGGAACTGGTCATCTCCTCTGTCTTCAAAAGGACTTTTGTGTCTTGGGAGGTCCGTCTTCCAGCCTTGTGCTCTGTGGTTCCAGGCGAGTGTCTCATCTTGAGGACTCCCGACAAGAGCACATGAAATAATAACAGACAGCATCCCTAGGAGTCACGTATTGGAATTGCTTCATTTCACGTAGCAGGTGGCTGGTTTCCTACCTTTTTTTTTATTATGAACCTCCCTGCAAGTAGAAAACTAGCACATCAAGGAGAAGACTGGGCTAGAATTTTTCTTCCTGTAAGGAGGCATGTTTTTACTGTTTATTGTTTTTTTTTAACCTGGGGAACATTCAGAAACTTACTTTTTCCACATTCAGTCCCAAACGGTACTGTCCGTTCTGCTAGATCATTCTGCCACGTAAGTTGGGTCAAGAAAACAACTGCTAAGAAAAAATATTTAATTAATAAAGAATCAATTAGTCAATCCCCAGACTTTTGGTTTTAAGGTATCACGTACTCCTGCATGATCTGTCTGTTGACCATCACAGAACCAGTTGGGAGTTACAGTAGTATGATAGCTTTTGCGCTCACAAAGCTAAGAACGGAGGCAACATTTAGACCTGAAATCCAAGAGCAGAATCTGTGTTTAGTGGATGATATCCCAGATACAGATGTTTTAAACAGTGTTTGGGAATGATACGATTTGGGACAGTTGGCAAAAAAGAGAAGAGAGAGAGAGATCTCGTATGTATATCTCGTAGCACTTTAAAGACCAACAGATTTATTTCAGAGTCAACTTCATCAGACACATGGAACTGGCACTTGTGCTTTTTCCTCTACAACCCCTCTGGCAGGTTCTGGGAGTTATAGTCTTGGGTGGGTGGGGTGGAAGTATCTGTTCCCATCGCTGTTTTTGGAGGAGACTGAAATTTAATTGCAGTAATCCTATGTATGCGTCGTTTCATGCCTGTTAAGCCGGATTTCGCTCCGACTAGGTGCAAACTGCCTTCGTTGGCCGACGGGGGGGGAGGTGATTGTTGGGCTCAGCAATTTATTCAATAAGGAAAATGCAAGGCTTGAGAAAATGACTTATACGGAGCTGTGGGTTCCAGAATTGAATGGTCTGAATGGCCAGGTTGGCCAGGGGATTCTGGGCTTTGTAGTTCAAGACCGCAAGATCTACAAGATGCCACCTCAAGAAGGCACCATTCTCTTCTTGGGAAGTTACTTTGAGTTGATCTGTGTTGAGTGGGGTCGATGCAAGACGCTTCTGCAGGAGGGGCAAAGGGGTCAAAAGTCATACAACCCCCTCTCTCATCATAAAACAAATTCAACTGCAGCCTTTTCCGTGGCTGTTCGTTCACCTTGCCCTAGAAGGGCCTGGTCACCCCTTTCCCTCGTCTCCTTGCAGTTCTTTGGGAACAAGGCAGCCGACGAAAGCAACCAGACAAAGCTTCCCATCTGATTCCCATTCCCATTCATCCAGCCCAGGCGTGTGGGTGCTGGTGGCCTTCCAGTGGTTATGGTACTATCCCTTCCCATGATCTGTCACCGTGGGCTGCAGCGACTCAGGGCCCTGCAGCAAAATGTGGGGGGTTACAAGTTGCCGTCCCCTCCTGATCTTCTACACCGAAGTAGCATTTTAAAAGTAAACGGCAAGACATCCTTGTTACACAGGGTTGACTCTGATCCGATTCAAGCATGCAAATGGGGAAGTCAGAATACTGGGCTTTGGGTAGGCTGCTGAAGGTTGCAAAACATGGGTAGGCAGCTATTTGTCCTTCAACCAAACAACATTTTCAGAGGCTGAAAAACACCTGTTTTTCCTTGCATGGTGACTGCCACCATCCCCTAGCCAACCATGGGGATAGAGAAGTACTTTAGCTCCCCATGGGCCAAACCCAAGTGCCAATCTAATAATAATCATGTGCTGTCAAGTCAGTTCTATCTTATGGGGACCCTTTTCAGGGTTTTTCTTGGTGTATTTCAAAGTCCCTGTTAGGGCCGCCGTAAGCGAGAAGCAACTCAATAGCACGTCACGACAGCATCCTTTATTAGCTGTACTAGACAAGATTTTAAAAAAATAATTTTATTTGCTGTTGTTTTTCTGTGGATCCTTTTGGGGGAAAGATGTTTTGGCTCACACAGTTAGCTGCCAACCGAAGTAGAGACGGCAGTGAAATTCTGCACTGGCCATACCCTACGCCTGTGGATTCCAAAATTAATTAATTTCTCTTGAGTTTCAGTGAGCCTGACTCCTTAATGGGAAGTGTTTATGATGATACTGTAATCTGCAATTTGACACTCACTCTTTAAAGAATAAATAGAGGGGATGTGATCTGCTTTTTCCACTGCCATCGAAATGATGATGCCTATATGGAGATGCTTCTCTGTTTAAATTATATCATGGGATGGAAAGGAGCAGCACAAATTATTTTTATTTCCATTACAAGGATTTGTTCCAGCCGAGCCACTTCCAACATGGCAGTATTTCTCAAGGGACAAGATTCTTTTAAAAGAGAGAGAGAAACAGACAGACAGATTATGTAGAACAGCATCTCCTTTTCATCCTCCTCCCGATGTCTCAAGCCAGATTCTGGGAGGGTGATAAATATGGGAGGCTGTTATCAAAGGCGTAGTCCTATCAGCCCACAACGTTTTAATTTCTGGATCGGAAAATTTAAATGGCACTTCCTTCTCCATTAGAATATTTTTTAAAAAATTATAACTTACTGCTCTGAATCATGCTCCAAAATCTGCTACCTCCTTAACGTAGGCATTATGGCAGGAAATAGATAATCACAGGTGAGCCCTTTTTTCATGTTTGAACTGAGTGGGAGGCAGATGTTCAAACGATGCAGCCTTCTGCCGTCCCTTCAGAAGTACAAAACTGGGGTTGAAATGGCCGTGGTCTTATATCAGGAACTGATTTTGAATTCAAACTGAGCCAGGTTTTCCTTTTAATGAGTCACATGTTCTGATCCGTTTGTTCCCCATCCAGGGAAAAAAAAGAGACGGAGGGTTGCCAACTTTTCAGCCAGCCCGTGTGGTGGTGCTTTTAACAGCACTGTCTTTGGAGGATGCTATGATCTTGTGTCTGCACATCAGGGTGCAGGGAAAGACACAGATTTGACGGGTTTCTCCTTTGGCCCCTCTTCTTCTTCACCTGCGCAAGCAGAGATGGGAGATGGTTCTTTCTTTTGGCCTCCAACTGCTATGCCGACTCTGAGATTCTGGAAGCCAGAGTCCCAAAAAAGATAATCTTCTCCATTTCCAGTTGGTAGCCCAGATTCCCAACAAGTTGCCAGTTCAGGCAGGCTACCAAATCCCAGTTCAACCTAGAAGTCACCTTTTGAGCCAGCTCCGATAGGTCCTGCTTGCCAGAGAGCATGGTGAAATCTCAGCCTAGCTAGCTTTCGAAAAGTGGTCAGAGATCCTGCAGAGAGAGGGTGACAGAACATCTGGGGCATGATGCCAGTGCAGATGGGCGATACCATTCTTTGAATCCTCTCCTAAGCTTTATAAAATCAACAAGCGAAATTGGAAACCTAGCACTCAGGAGAAAACATAACAAAAGATGGTTTTTTGAGGTCAACCATCCATTTCCAGATTTTCTTCCATTTCATTCTAGATTTCATGTCTAGATTCAGGCCAGTAACTTCCTCCATCTTTCGTTTTTGCCAAGGCAGATTTGACTCTGAACTTGTGAGTCTGTTTTACATCGCAGTGGGGAATATTTCAACCCTGCAGATGTTTTGGACGTCGGCCCCCAGAAGCTCCAGGGGGAGGTGGGACACATAGCCCAAAACATCTGCCAGACCACAGGGTCCCCAGACCCAGTTTGTAGCAATATTTGATTCTGGAAATCCAAGGCAGGGGAAATGCCAGTCTTCCGATTGCTCTGTGAACTTTTTTTAAATTTCCAAAACGGATTATTTAGGAGGCGAAGATCTGTCTACAATGATCAGAAGTAAGAGCTGAACCCTAAAGAAGGCTGACCACCAAAGAATGGATGCTTTTGAATTGTGGTGCTGGAAGAGACTCTTGAAAGTCCTCTGGACTGCCAGGAGATCAAACCTATCCGTTCTGAAGGAAATCAACCCTGAGTGCTCACTGGAAGGATAGATCCTGAAGCTGAGGCTCCAGTACTTTGGCCATCTCATGAGAAGAGAGGACTCCCTGGAAAAGCCCCTGATGTTGGGAAAGTGTGAAGGCAGGAGGAGAAAGGGGATGACAGAGGATGATATGGTTGGACAGGGTCATCAAAGCGACCAACATGAATTTGACCAAACTCCGGGAGGCAGTGGAAGGCAGGAGGGCCTGGCGTTCTCTGGTCCATGGGGTCACAAAGAGTCGGACACGACTAAACAACTAAACAACAAAGGAAAGGGGTTTTGTTTTGTTTTGGTCTGTTGCAAGCAGGGGGAATCCTTGGGGTTTTGCTTACTTGTTTATTTTTTTGTAATTATTATTGTTATTCCTAAGGAAAGCACAGTGGTTTCTCAACATTTACCCCCTTTGTGGGTAAGATGATGTAATTTATTGTCTTTCTGTTCTGATTTTAAAATACAAACACTAAACTGAAGATCTCTTAGCTCCCGTCCGGGAGATTTGCTTTAAAAAAATGAAATAAATAATAATACCAAATCAAAATGTGGTGGAAAATGTTGGTGATTCTCCGCTCTTCTCATTACATCATTAGCCTAGCTGTGATTC